AAAGACAGGAAAATGCATTAGCTGCGCTGCCTCTCCAGTCCCTCATCCAGTTCAACTGATTGCGCAATCATATCATACATTATATGATAATATACGATATAATATGATTGTATCACGATATTTTGATATGATTATATATTAGGATATGATATACGATATGATTATATCATATATCATACCATATCAATGTGATGTCTTCGCTCAAGAATAGGCTTTATATACAGTATGTGGCCATGAGCCGATTTTTGTACTTTTCGTGACTTGTAATGCTCCCAGGTTTTTATATATATTGGCACTATAAAAAGAATATATATTGTTGTTGGACTTTATATAATTCTATTTTTTATCAACTGAAAGTTCGGCGCTACAAAATTAAGGAAAATTATAATGGTCATTGTGACGAGCATCATAACTTTTATTATGTCATAAATGTGGAAATATGAGTTCGATTTCGGAATTGGCCTCTAATAAAGATGAAAAACATCGTAAAAAATACAAAAAGGAGACATTTGAAGTAATCAAGTACTTATATCATTAGTCTGCTTATATCGCAAGTTCACAAGGAATTTAAAAGCAAAGAAAACGCCAAGAAAATTCACCATATCGATATTGAAAACGTTTCGGAGTCCAGCTCCATCATCAGTTCGACTAAACAAAAAATGAATAAAATCACTTTAAAAGTCAAAATTCAACGATAGACATAAAACCTAAACAAGACCTAACATTATATCGAAATACAGGGTGACACAAAAAAAACAGAGCTCACTAAAAGTCTTATAACTCCTGAAATTTTATTCAGTTTGAAACAAATAAATATGAGTTCGATTTCGGAATTGGCCTCTAATTAAGATGAAAAAAATTGTAAAGAATACAAAAAGGAGACATTTGAAGCAATCAAAATTCGACATCTAACTTTTGAAACTGATAAGTCATAGAATGTACGACAACTGAGTCCAACCAAAAAATTAATTGAGGTAAAATTTGTTTGCTACAAATTAGGAATTTTTATGGAATTTTGGCGATTAAGAAGGCGTGCAGCTTAATAGCTCATTTATTTTATCAAATTATTAATAGAGCTATTGTCCTGAGTTTGTACTCATATCGTAATACATAAAGAAGATTTTTGCATCTAAAAATAACAAGGAAGAAACTAAAAAATTGCTCTCCCATCGTGAACAATACAATACCTTAGAAAACTGAATACATTATAGTTTTTTCAACTCTGTTCACGTACAAGATTTGCGTAGATCAAGGCTGAGGCTACCGGCAAAGCTGCCTCCGCGTCAAGCAACACAAACTTGTCTTTACTTCAAGTAGAGTGACTAGAGTCGCCAGGCCAGCGGACGCCGACCTTGACATAGAGACGACAAGCGGTGCAGGGGGTAATGGGAGGACATTGTCATGTGTACAGTATCCTGCCGGCGACGTGTTAGCTGTGCACACGTGCGAAAAGTGTTTTAGACGATGAAGTGTTTTAGTCTTAAAGGATCAAGCATTATGAGGAGCTCAGTTACGCAGAAATTTATGGATGCATGAATTTGGCATGAGCGACTAATAATCTGGTGACGATGCGTGAGTCATGATGGTGCGTCAACGAAAAATATCCCCAAAATTTTTTCAAAAAGAGTTAGGCTAAATTGCAGATGTTGACCAATTGTCAATGTGATCTATTGAAAATTAGGAAAAAGTTCCAAACATGAAAGAGAAATTGCTTTCCACTGACACATGATGTTTCTCTTCACTGCCTCTTGATGTACGAGAAAACATGTTTTAAGTGTTACAACTGCGTTGGAACACATCCATGCGACAACATTTCTTCTCGCTTCGAGCNTGGAGAGACACATCATGAGTCAGTGGAGAGACACATCATGAGTCAGTGGAGAGACACATCATGAGTCAGTGGAGAGACACATCATGAGTCAGTGGAGTGACACATCATGAGTCAGTGGAGTGACACATCATGAGTCAGTGGAGTGACACATCATGAGTCAGTGGAGTGACACATCACGGGCCTGAAGAAACAATCATATCGCAGCGCCTGGAGTCAAGGAGAGTTTGATGGGTAAACGAACCTCAGGACTTGTCCGTTAAAAACTCACACGATCCTTCCTTTAATTTCAGGCCAAGGTTGTGGTCACAAACTTGCATTAAAGAAAAAAATTCGGTCCTTCATGAACTTCTGCTTGCCGCGGCATATGGTCATGGCTGAGCTAGAGAAGATAATTAACAGGAATATTACATCACAAAAGTATGAGATAATTTAAAACAAATTAATACTGTGGTTCGCTGCACAGACATATATGGTAATAATACCAGAGTTTTTCATCGTATCCAGACTGCGATTCAAAACGGTAATGATTTCATAGTCTATTACCGAGCGTGATGTAGCATACCAATAATGAGTTTTCATTTGTAGAAAGCTTGCAGCTATAAAACTTACATTTGTATGATTCTATAAGTCGGTTTATGCGTAATACCGTATTTGAACCTCCGATGCATTGAAGAAAAGTAAGGTATACTGATTTCGTAGGAGAGGCAAAAAGTTCAATGCATCTTATCCATAAACATCAGACGGCATTCCATTGAACTCTCTTGCGAAGCTCTTTATAACGTATCCAGGGTAACTAGACGCACGGAGAGAGAAATCGACCTCCAGGCTGGACAAACACTGTCATTATGTGCAAAGCCTGAAAATTGCGGATTTCAAAGGCCATTGAGTGGCACTGATGACTCTCACTGGTTCAATAATCCACGGTCACGGCCCATGACGAGACCGTATAAGGAGATGTCATCTCAGAGGCGACAATTAACGCACTCAATACGACAAATTTAAGGACAATAACGGCAGCATGACTGAGCATTCAACATTCAAAGATGTTTTTACTAACATGCTCTTCGCTACAGAAAATTTAATTCAATTTCGATCGAAACTGATCATGGTTTGATTCCAATTTTTGTAGCATAAAATCAAAATCTCGAATAAATTTAATCTCACTTTGAAAACTCGCAAACAAAAATCAAAAACCGAAAAGTTTATCTGAAGGCTTGGCTGGAACTTCTGTTGTAAAGATCAGAGAAAGATCTTTCAATAATTATCGGTGAAATAATTAACCTCTAAGAATCGCTTCAATCTTCAATTTGTTTCAATATTCGGCTCAGAGTTCTTATTGATGACATTAGTAGTTCCTAGTAACATATGTAACAGAAGCTCATGTAGTGCCCTGCCAGCGATGGGTCAAAGTCAGGTACGCGGATGCAGCGAGTTTGGTGATCGTTCACAGCGCGGCAGTAGCCATGCAGTCCGCGACTGCCAGAGGTCAGCCTCCGGGGCCAAGCGCCCAGCATGAATGCAAATAAACACGAGACGAGGCGCTGGAAAAATCTGTGCGGAGAAGGACGCAATTTTCTCCGCTCTATAACGAGGGCATTGTATATCATAAACGCCACGTGCGCGTTAAATAAAGGGCATTGGAATTTGCTGTCCTGCCCAAGTTCAAACGAGACGCAAGAAAAATCCCTCAAGGAATGTATTTTTGAGTTTTTTAAGACGTTTTGGAGGTTTTTTCTTTAGATAACAGATGATATTGGCTCGTAATTATTTGTTTTGAGTACATCCTCGTTAAATATGATAATGCGAAGACAAGACGCAGTAGAGAGTACAAAATGTAATTGTACGAAACACGATGGTGTACGGCTCACGGAAATGGTTCGTTCTGACAGCCCTCGTCTGCATCAAAGATTCGACGAAGCTACATAGCTGTGATAGCACTGGGGAGGGGAGAGAGGAGGAATGCCCAGAGTTACGTTGCAGGCAAAGAAAGTGAAGCTGACGTCAGGGGAGACTTTTCCTTTTATCCATACTCACTGAGTCGGCCTCGGCGCACGTCTGCACCAAAGATTCAACAAAGCTACATAGCGCCGGAGGGGAAGGGGGGGGGGGAATTAATGCCCAGAGTTGAGTTGCAGGCAAAGAAAGTGAAGCTGACGTCGGTGGAGACTTTTCCTTTTATCCATACTCACTGAGTCGGCCTCGGCGCACAACTGTACTATTGACAAGAACAAATAATCCGTGATAGTGCTTCTATTTTCGGTGGAGGAAACTCACTTAACAGAAATCCTTTGAGGTATTATGACATTGTAATGAATTTGTCACGTTTAGATCGCAAACTCCAGTCGCAACAGTAAAATTCGAAACATAAAAATCTTTCAGCATTCGCCCAACACCTTGAAACACGTTTAACCTTACCATTGAGATCCAATTGAATTAAGCTTGGCTTGACAGATATCGATTGAAATAAAATTATTGTACCAAATCGTAAATGAAATTATATTCACAATTCAAGACGCGCAAAGTCCTAAAACCTAAATCAATTAAGCTGGGTGCACGATTCATGTGTGAGCTTCCTTTTGCAATTAGGGAAGCAAAGTTTACATTCGGTGGCGCATAATTTAAAAGAAAACACGAATGATGCATGAAATTTCAACAGAAATGTTCAGCATTTTAATGATATGGAAAAATTTTTCTTATATCTTAAAATAGTGTGAGATGACCTCATATCGAAGACTGAACGTTGCGCGCCAAGTAGGCTAGCACGAATCCACGATCATAACCTAGGAACCTCAGGTAAAATTAACTCTAACTTCAATGCTCTCTAAAGAAAGTAAAACGGATTCTATAAATAAGGGCTTATACTAGGCTCGAATGAGAGAAAGCTTTTTAAAATTAATCTGCTCATGCGCAACAGACTACTAAATTATTCGCGGAAGCAGGTTGCTGCTTCTTCATTCGATTTCGACTCCCAAACACGTTGGGAGTTGAGGGATTAACGTTAATTCATCTTTCACTGATCAATTTAGTAGTAAGAATTTTGAACACGCTAATTCAGCGCAATATTATTAAGGAAAAAAGAATGGTGAAAGAAGCAATTAAGTATAGCAGCAATAATGAAGCGTAAGCAACTAACCGACTGAAAAAAGTGAGGCCAGACGCAAATACTCACCATTTCACCGAAGAGATTGAATAAACTTTCATGTAAAAATTCAAGTAGTTCAACTCATTGGAGTCATCACTGCTAACGGCTAGCAATATTAAGTAGCCACCAACCACAACTCATAGATTCACTTCGATATTTTTAATTGAATTAGGTTCGATCACGCGCAAGAAGGCTGTGATCGGAGAGAGTCGGAGGTGCACGATGTAACAGCGTATACAAGCCAACCTCGTTCAACGACGACTACGTAGCAACTGTCTGCACAGTTGACGGTCACGGTAAGCTTGGTACTTCCAAGTTAATGAGCTCGACAGCTCGAGTGTTGGGCCAAAACTATAAAATATTAATGGTATCTGGTTTTCAACGTCAAGGATAAATAGGCCAAGAATGTAAACTAATGAGCAACACTGAGTTTCCTTGAGATCACTTGACATTTTGTTTACCGCAACCTTGCTCATAAACGAGCGTTTGTTGTCCGGTCCGGAAGAACGGAAGCAGGGAGATGAAGTGCAAGCGTTGAAGTCAGATGGAATTTGAACTTCATTGCGAGTTTGAATGGAATTTGTGAAGTTATTAGATGATCAAGTGCAAGAGTTTTTCCAAAGTTCCAAAGTAAATCATCGTGACATGTTTATTGAGATGATTCTTTTAATAAATCTTGTAGCTTTGATCCCAGCAGATAAATTTGATAAGTTAGCATATTGTCTCCCAATAGGGAGTTATTAAATAAGTGGTATTTATTATTAAGATGACTTTAACGCCGTACACCAACAATGGACGCTTCGGTGATTGTTAGGTGTGAAAACCCTAGATGGATAACTACCTCGGCCGCGTTCAAGTCGGTGGCGAGCTTCAATTTTAGCAATGATTTTGTCAGCTTAATTACTATAGAAGAAAATAATTCAATGACATTATGCGCCGAAACGAAATTGACGTGATTTTACAAACATTTCTAAGATATTATATTAGTAGGAGAAACAAGAGATCAGCTCCCCTGAGCTTCTCTTCATATAATATAAACGTGTTTTTGGTGTGAATTAATTTGTCAAGCTGGCTTGTTCATTAGTCTGTCGTCTATCCTAAATTTCGATACTAACATCAATCTACCGTTAACGATTTACGGCAAATGCTATCCCGTTTTCATTCACCATATAATATTAATTAACCAATAATATAACTGAGAACTCGGCATGAATGTAAATAATCTTGCAGAGAAGAGAATATCGAAGTTATAATAATAGAGTTGAGTTGTGTCCTGCATTACCATTAGCGACTTCCTCACCCATCAGGATCCTGAGAAACACTAATAATTAAAACTATTGGGAAATCCTGTCAGTCAACTGAATTTTCTGTTCGACGTTCTGCCTATTATTGGTCAGTATTCATCTCGCAATTTGTTATTTTGTTTCGTTACTTGTGCAAGGCTGCAACCGATTGGTGACCGAATCGGCAAAGAATTGAGCCTTTGTTTCTGTTTTAATTAATCCGCAATTCCGGGCTTTCTTTTTGTAATTTAGAGCACAGCAAATGCAATCATTATGGCTCAGAATCACGTTATTCGTGATAAAGTTCAATATAAAGACTGTGCATGATTGATTGCCGATGCTGCGCAATGCGATTGAACATGACACAGCAACTAACGTTACCAAGGCGCAGGTGTGAAATCCACCAATTACGAACATGTCCATTACGAACACCGCTGCGTTCGTTGAACAAGGTTTGAGACACTAGCGGCACGTGCCATGTGTAACGCAATAATAAATGAGGGTGCCATTTTTAGGGTAAACTTTTTGAGCCCAAGCGAGTCCTAAATGGAGAAACAATACAGAGATGGAAGTTGCGCAATTCTTCGTCTATTCTATGAATAATTAAATGGAGCAAGGAATTTTCAAAGAGACGGTAATTCTCCTTAATAGATACTCTATCATTTTCCACAAGATCATATAACGTACAGAATCGATTAAGCTCGATGAACATTTTAGAAGGAAAACGAAAGGTTATACAAATCAATGTGGATTAAATTTTGTTATTTGACACTATTCTATTCTAAGCTTTCTCCATGAACGTTCATTAGCCTTTGTATAAACATCGAACAGAGAATATAAAAATACCTCGATAAAAAACAGGCAATTTCTGTCTCTGAGAAACTGAAAAAGCTAGGTCACTTCTGGCCACGTCAAAGATCGTACGTTTCTTCGGAATAATGTTTCCTCTGGTCGGACAGAAACGTACCTAACGTGAAAGCTGCCGTAACCTTGTGCAGTTATCTAGACTTATCTCGTAATTTTCAATCCAATTTTAGAAAACAGTTGCAAGACCTTTTTGAAAACGAACTGTTGTGTACACCGATGCTTCAGTTTATTTTAAATTTTCGGGCACCCAATCTGGCGCAAACTAAATTAACAATCAACGGATGCAGGAGAGCTGCAGACGATTTGATCTTAATTAAACAGCGGTACCGATAGCGATTGAAATTCAACGCACATAACAATTGTGAGGGCTAACCACAGCTTCACTTTATTGTGTGTTTTTGTTGAGAATAACAGCCTTTCTGGCATCGCCCTACAGTTAAGGAATCGCAGGCCGCATATAAACCGCTTGTGATATTTTATCAGGGCTGAATAACTGAAGAATCAAGGTTGATTAAATGCATCCACAATGCAAACTGTACAACACATGACTTAGGTGTAAATGGTCTCGTGGAGCAGGGAAGGGCGAAGTTGCCAGCAAATGCATTATTTGTAGAAACATTTAATTATAATAAGACGACAACAATTCATCCTCCGTCGGTACAAACATTGATTTGTTGCATTAATTATTATCGCATGATGATTAGAAATAAGGAAGAGTGTTTAGAGTTTACGCACATCTGACCTGTAGTGTGCAGAGTCACACCACCTGTAGTGTGTATAGTTTACGTTCACATCACCTGTAGTGTGTATAGTTTACGTTCACACCACCTGTAGTGTGTATAGTTTACGTTCACATCACCTGTAGTGTGTAGAGTTTACGTTCACATCACCTGTACTGTGTAGAGTTTACGTACACACCACCTGTAGTGTGTAGAATTTACGTTCACACCACCTGCAGTGTGTAGAGTTTACGTTAATATCCCATACAAATGAAGCACATGGGGTTATAAGTCAGCAAAACCGTATTCTTCTTTTTTATTTTATGAAAAATACTCAACTTAGAGATGAGAATTTAGTTCCCTATGGATTTAGCGATTACAAAAATCATGTACACAAACTAATTGTGCGCATAAATTAGTCAGTAGAAAAGAACACAGACGCACTTCGGCCATTATAACATTTATAGCTCAACTTGTTCACCCAAATTTGTTCCCTCCAGCTGACATTACGCTAATCACTCTTGGTATGTCGTGCATTTGGCTAATTTATTCCAATTTTTAATATCTACATAATTTTTATACTAAAATTTATAATACAAGATATTGAATGTCTATTGACAGAGACAAACTCCCGTCAGGTAAAACTTTCAACATTGCAGTAGTCCCTGTTGCGTACGTGACCTAAATGTGACCGTCCGGGCCCGGCCCCGCGTGCTGAACGTTCGCGGTGCGGTGAGAGCGCAGGTCAAGCCTCGCCAGCGCGGCTGATCTCGTGAGGCTGAAGACTTCGTAAAAATATAACTCGGTACTCACTGCAGTGAGTGACATAGAGCGCATTTTCTCGTCGACGAAAACGTGAAGTCACGGACAGACGGACAGACGGACGGACATGACGAGCACAATAGGGCATTTTGTCCAAAAATGAGAAAATGCGCTAAAAAGGATCCAACTAATTAAGAATTCAGCGCAAGTTAGAAAAGAGTTTTCCTGCTGGATCAGCGTCTATTGAGCTATATTGTGCACGCGAATACAAATACTTAAATTCTATTCACATATCCGATAACTGTCTAAGTCTCAGCATTAGCACTTGGACGTTGCAAGTTAAAATTTTTCGACCCTTTATATGTTATGTATCTGGAGCGTAGTGTGCACTTTGTCAAGAATTCTCTGACTTAAGAACCGTCGGTTGTTATCCGTAATAACTGCACTATTTCAGGTTTCTCGTATAAGCACCGGAAGTGAGTGGATTCCATCACATTTTTCAAGCTCGTCGCTGTGCCGTCCGGGGATTGTCCAAAATATTTTGGCCGATAAAAGAGCTCACTCAGACTGGTGGGCTTTCTATTTAGCTCGCAAGTTATAACTTTTCTGGACATTTTCGGGGATTTACCTAGCAAACCAGTCGTGTGCTCTGGAGAACCCGCTAAAATGAACTGTACAAATTTCATATCATTTCGATGGCAATTTACTTCTTGAAAAAACAGCAACGTCGCAATCAGAGACCATTACTCTCATGAAAAAGCTGAAAATATTTTCGTTGTTACAACTGATGTGATAACAAAATTTCAGTACAAGATATGAAGGGAAAATTTAAATTTTTACAAATTTTATGTATATTTTGTAATTTTTTATGTGTTTATGTATTTTTTTCTGTGGCTTGAAGCTTGGTGCCGCAAATATATAAAGGTCAATCGAGCGCGCATCCAAGATAATTATTTTGCCGGGATAGTTTACGTGCAGGACCAGGCTGATTTTTTAACAAGTTTTAATTAATTTAATGAATTAAATAGTTTTACTAGTTTTAATTAATTTGCATACTTTAACTAGTTTTAGGAATCACCAATGGGATCGGATAATTCAAGCTTTCGCTACCTTTCATGCAAGTAAGGCTTATTATGTGATTAACTAAGTTATCTCTTCTTCCTTTGGAAACTTGCACGCTTCATCGTACAAACAAATCTCTGTGAAATTAGCTTTCCATGCCGACAAAAAATTTTACCGCACGCCTTTGTTGCAATGAAGCACGAAACAAGGATACGAACACGAGCTTTTACTGTGAAACTCGTACCTGAACATTGTGAGCAGGATTAGAGTCAGAACAAGAAATGGCGAGAAATTATATAATTATCCTCATACAAGTAAACTAAATCAAAGGTTACCATTGATCATACTTATTTCTTTAATGGATCTATGGATGCCAAGCAACCCCAGCAAACCATGTCGTCGTTTATGAACTGAGAGAGCGGTGTTCTCTCCAACCCAGCCTTCACATCTGATATAAACAATTTAGATTGGCCAGCTGAATGCTAAAGGCGGATTGACCGGCTGAAAGTTGCTAAAAAATCTAATCCAAAACTTTTCCAAAAGCTTCGACTCTATATATAAAGTATGTTAAGTTAGACAATTTGTTGTCTATTCGGGGACGCTTCTGAACTTATATAGTTTACAACCGCGGTAAACAGTACTGTCAATGCCGATTACGTCGCCACAACACTCAAGCCGCCGGCCTTCAATAGAGACGATCTATTTTTTAAGCAAAACTGAACCAAATATCCTCTAACGCGATCAAAACAGCTCCGTAGTCATGCGTCGGACAAATTTACGGCCGGACTCGACGCGGCCAGTCATGCTGCCGGTCTCACGGCCAATCTCCAGATTCAGTGACCAATGAATATCTCACAAACTAATAGACGTAGCTCGATGAAACTAGGTACACGTATTCATTTGGACCTAACGGTGATGTTTAGCTCGTGAAAAATTTTCCCATTTCACCTTCACTCGTGAGTAATAGAGCAATTCAAGCCGAAATTCGTCTGTGACCAAGAAATATATTCTAAACTACTGAACAGATTTAAACAAAACTTTGAATATAAATTCCAAACCTCCCAACGTTGATGTTTAGCTCGAGACAATTTTTCGATTTTATCTTCGTTCGCGAGTAAAACGTATAAACGGAGAAACGACCGGCATTTCTGAGGCCGAACTGTGCAAACGAAGGCAAAATCGAAAATATTGTCACGAGCTAAACATCGCCGTTGGTAGGTTAGGAATGTAAATTCAAAGTTTCGTGTAAATCTATTCAGTAGTTTAAAATAAATATCTTGGTCACTGTAAATTTCGGCCCGAATTGCTGTATAATTCACAAATGAAGGTAAAGTGGAAAAAAATTTACGAGCTAAACATCGCCTAACTGCGCTGTAACTCATCCACGCGACAACATTTCTTCTCGCTTCGAATCACCGACATGTGGAACAGCCTCCCCGATTACATCGTTGGCGCTCCTATTTCGCCAACGGGCTCCTCTAGCCCGTTCAAGAACAGACTAGATAAAGCTATGGAAAAATATATGTTCAGACTTGAAATGCCTAGCACCATATCGAACCCGGGGGAAGTCTAGTAGCTATATATTTCAAACTATCGTCAGTCTTGAAAAGATCAGTCAAATGACACGATTTCAGATCTTCTGTGAACAAGTCACGAAAAGTTCAAGAATCGGCGACAGGCCACATCAGGCCTACTCTTCAGCGCCGATATCACTGTGTTATGTTATGTTAGGTCCTGATGAATACATATAATTGGTTCGTAAATAACTGAAGAGATTCGATGAACTCCTGTTTTTTTCAACAGTTGAGACACACAAGGAACTATAATCAAGAAATGTAAACAATATGTCATAATTGTGTGCAAACTCGCAGGCGCAGTAACAAAATCTAAATCTTGAAAATAATGGCAATGCGGCAAAATTCATCACCGCAACTTTAGGTGTGCGACTTGCATTCGTCTTTGTTATCCGGAACAAAAGCTGCGAGTGCTAACGACGCGGCACACCGACTCCACTGTGAAGCTCATAAGAATGCCAACCAAAGAAACGTTTTGTTTTGCGATTTTAGTGAATTTCCTTTCGATGTTGCATTAGCGATGACCGCCACTGTAACTTTGGAGCGCTTGAATATCAAGGCTTGGTCAGCATTCAGTCAGCGGTTGCGAAATGAGACCATCAAAAAAGAATTCAAAACCTTTCAGGTTTCTTCCCTGAATCTTCTAACTTAAAACGTTTATTGCCAAAAAGATTGTTTAAACAGTGTTATTACATACTCCGTCATATGACTCATATCACATTAATCTAATCTAAATACTCACATGTATAAACTTTGGTAGACCTCTTCCCTATATTTCTGAAGCAACTGAAGGTACTCATATGACATGATCGATCGTTTGATTTTCACTTTCAGCCCCTAGAACAGCGGAAAGATTAGTACGAGTGGTATCCGCTTACCTGAAGATGTTTCTTTATTAATTGCGAGGAAGCCCGAATTCCTTGAAAAATGTAAAAATGAAGAAATGATTTAGTAAATTTTCTTTCTCCATGCAGATTTTTCCAGTCGTTGCTGACCTTCACAGTACGAACTTTTGTGGTGTTCAACGGAAATGACCTTCAGTTTAGAAATACTTTTTACCCTTCAGGGCTCCCCAAAAAACGTTTGAACTAATTCTACGATTCCTAACAAAGATTTTACGAAATGCTTCTTTGAAATCGCCTTCGAGTGAGAGAGAAATTCTCGCTGCTATCGTATGAAAGACAAGCGCTGCTGTTCCGCCCGAGCTGACATTCAAACGAACGAACCTGGAGGCCACCCACTGGCGCCGGCATGAACTTTATTCAATTAAATTAAAATGTGGAGATTAAAATGTGTTAATAATAAGATAACGCGAGTGTTGTAGAAGGAAATTCAAACGCTTGAAGTAAGTTGTGATGTGGAGCATTCTGCATTTACTAAGAAGTACTATCGGATGGATCTATGCACAAAAACTTGCGTTGCATGTCGGTTTTTCTAAGGGCAACAGTAAAATAATACAAAAATTGGAAGCTAAAAACACTGCAATTTGACATTTCTGCAAACTTTTATTGCGATTATAATCGAGTATGTGCTTCTAAACCTGTGACTCACAGTTTCGAACTCTAACTCACGAAAGAGACTCGGTGACCTTTTAGTGATTAATGATCCCGCCACTCGAAAACCGGAATCTGCCAGAAAGTAAAAATGTAAAATATTTAGTGCTAAATTAAACGAATATTAAGTGGTCATATCTTTCTCTAGACGGATTTTTTATGATTTATAGGCATCTAAAATGAAAGTTCTCGCCCCATACATGTCCGCTATTGTTTGTTTATTGTCATAACAAATTTTTGATAATTAAATGCGAATTATAATTATGTGCAAGCTTGAAGAAGATTAGTAGATGGGTAATTATCACAGTAAAAATAAACTTGGTACTAAATGCGATGTTAAAATTAAATGACCACAGGTTTCTTTCTAGTCGAGTTGTTTGATTGTAATAGGCAAATTGTTCTCAGAACTTTTTGCGGCTGACACTTTCTCAGGTGATTTGATTACCAGTAAGTTTACTAAGTTCAATATACTTACTCAGATAACATTTTAAATATAAATCATTCTAAGCTAACCTCATTTTTTTCATGTCGTAGTCACATTAGCAAGAGACAGCCGAGTGGAAGCTCTTAAGGTTCTCACTGAGATCTGCTTCATAGCCAGAACTGCAGAGCTGACTCAAGTCGTCGACGGAGTAGAAAGAAAACTCTTGAATTTGTTGTGACGAAGTATCTTCTTGATATTTTGTGCAGTCCTCTGAGCAAGCGGATGCATCACAAGCAAAGAGTGATTCCATGCTACGGTTACTCCCTGCATATTCTCGTTTCCGCGTATTCTCAAAAATAACGAACGATCTGTTTAAATTTCCTCCTACTTGGGATTGGCAGCCTGCACACTTACATACTGAGGCTAGTGTGCGATCTGACTGGTCAGTGTAAGAATCTTCGGTCCAATTCTCATTCTCTAAAATGGGATGGGTATCAGAGAATGAGTGGCAGATGGTCCCATACGATGAATCAAATTGTTCATTAATGTTGTTACGCATCTTTTTTTCATCGACAGTTTCACTTCGCACCTTCTTCTCTTCAGTCTCTGAAGTTGCTGCGCTTTCGTTCCACGATCCGAATAAAATCATGAAAGCTATGACGGGAATTCCAAAAGTAAAAACGAAGCAAAACCGAATAACAGAACCTATGATCGTCATATTCGTTTGGAACTTATTTAAAAAAAAAACTTAAGTTGAATTTCCAAGTGTCCAGTCCAGATACGAAAGCTGAGAGCTCCATGAAAGCAGCTGAGATACTGCTTTGAAATACATCAAGAACTGGAATGAAATATAATCTTATTGGTGATAACCTAAGCCCAACAATTTGTTTTTGGGGTCAAACTCCAGACCGTCTATTAATTTCTTTGATAAGTCGAAGAAATCTCAAATATTATCGCTCAGTGACATATTCAGGACGACCAAGGTCGGCTTTGTGTGCAGAAAACAGGACTTACCAGCTTCACACATCTTCGTCAAAACCGACGTGAGACACCAAGTGAGGAAACAATAGACTCACTTCTCTGCAGCCTCCGCTTGTGTGGCACACATTTGAATTTACACTAGTAGCATGCCTATACATCGCAATTCATGCATCGAAAAGTAGGCTAAATAGTATACCTCAACCGTGTTTAATTGTTTTTTCTTACGTCTTAACATGTAGCAGAACAGCTGTCTTCCATCATTATCCACGGCTTGGCACCAATATTTGTGGCTAAGAACATTAATTTTTGTGCCGCTGCCATTTTTGTTCTTGTTAGCCAGCGTTAAGTTATTATGCTATAGTCGTCGTTTCATTCTAATCGAGTCGCTTCAATCTTAATCAACATAGAAAGTCGTTTTTCTCTCGGCCGTTCCACAAAGCCCCAATGCCCCGTTGCGGGCTTTCACTTTCACCGCAAACTGCAAGCTGATGGAGCGCAGTGTCTGCTTCACAGTCAGGACTTTGAAGTGAACACGAGACGTTTAGTTTCATCTTAAAGGGAGTTAACTTGTCAGTGGGAAGTAATTTGAACATTTTGGACATTGCATGCGTGGAAAATTCTTAGTGTAATTCATTTATACGGTACCTGTGAATGAATTGTTGAAAATTTGTCGTATTTCTCCCAATTATCCTGTCACGTTTTTGTTATAAAACGAGCTTACGTCTGGCTATATTGTAATTTTAAAAGTGAATGTCAATCATACTAAGCCCGAAAAATGGAAATGTGCAACATTTGAAAATGTATTGAGAGTAATTTCGTTACAGTTCAAAGTTTTCCAAATGATAAGGCTCAATGAGAGAGAGTGGAGTGAAGGTATATTATTGTTCATATAATTAGCTTAAGTACAAACCATTCATTTAAGTCAGGGAACTGTTGAAGCTCACTAAGCGGTTGTCATTAAAGGATAAGTATCAACAAGATGCTGGATGAAACACGAGGAATGTGCAGACTAATATTAATGACAATCTTCAATAAGCATTCGACTTTTTTACAGCAAAACTGTTTTGCAATGTGTGCTGCAATACCATACCTCTTTTAGTCGTTATTTCGTAAATTGTTTTGGTGTGTGATTGTGTGTTTTACCGTTTTTAGAATTAAGTGTTTGAAATGCCGAGAAACAATGCAATCATAAGTCTTCATGATTTACAGGCAAATGTCAAAGAAGTCTTTCACTGATAGCATGTAAATGAGCTTTGAATTTACAAATTATCTGTTAGGCATAGAAATACGATCGTAAATGTTAATGGCACCAGGATGTGTTTGGAGAGACTTGCTCGGTGTTCGGCGCAACACCGAGGCTACGCCGTGGCAGCAGCAGCCACCACACTCGTTCTTCTGGTGCTCCTGCGCGTCTTGGCCATCGACTCAGTCGCGTGGACCACGCCGGTAGTCAACGGGGGAAGTGAGCTGGTGCTTGAGTTGATTATACAGAAATTAGGTTGATTAGTCTCTCATTCATGTGAAATAAAGTGACGCTGTTCTAGTATCTAACCAATTCAATTTATTGCGGAAGAATGATGCTTTCACATTAGGTAAGTTTTGATTTGATAACTTGGGTACTCGTACTCTCAAATAATTCAAAAGATTTGTTGTACTAACATGCTTATGCGGCTGCCAAGGGTGCTGCCACAGTAGCATCTACAAAAATCATGCCAGGAGAGAATAAACCTCCTATCCTTCGATGGTTCTGACAAACTGTGGAGCCATCATTATCCATTCTTCCTATCAGAGAAAATATCAAGTTTTTATTGCAGGTAAGGCGTTGTCGAGATATAGATCTAAAATGAACGATCAAACGTTGTTGGCAAGAGTTTTGCAGCAACTGATGAGGCCCAATAACGGTCTACAATAATCATGTGTGGAAATAATTTGACCATGTTTATCGCTTAATTTTCAGGAGATTGGCATTTGTCTGGAATGTCTCAAGATAACGAGGCACTTGCGAACGAGATAGCGCTTCAGGTCAAAGGAGAATCTGAACAACCATATCAGCTGCAGCGCCCACACCTCGTCGACTTCTCCCAGAATGGCCAAAGCTGCTTCGTCGCTGATCTCTTCAAGGGAAAGGCTAGTTTGATGAAAAACTTTTATCTTACTTCGCACTCCTTTACCAGATTCCTTGAAAGTAATAAACCGGGAACAATAACTAACATTCAAAATGTGATTTTATTCGAGCATAAGTATTGTTTTGTGTTAACGGTACACAGAACGGACTAAAGGACAGTTAAGAGAGGGCGTTATTGCAATCGAAAAATGGTTTCCAACACTTTATTAAAATTCGTTTTCCAGCACTGTATTTACTATAATGAAAAACTATCACATTTGTTTGCTCAATCTTTCGCTCAGAACAGTAAGCGAACTTTTCTAGAGGCCGGAGGGTACAACGGAGAAGACTTGAGCAACAGCCTCTACCTGGAACGGGAACTGGGCTGGTCGGGCCTCCTAGTCGAGCCGGACCCTTGGAACTTCTGGAGTCTGACTAAACGCAACAGAAAAGCCAGAGCCCTCAATGCTTGTCTCTCACCTTCGACTTCAGCGTCAAAGCTAACCCTTAAGTCAGTTCATTAGTTGCTTGTAAGTTGAAATATGGCCTGGTTATACACAATCTCAACTCTCTTTCCGAAAGAACATTGACGATTCGAAAACTCCAAGAAGCTAACATTTCCCACGCATAGATCTGCTAATTACGTTCCAGGGCATTGTAATGAATAATGAACTAGACTACCATTTTACTAAAAGAATCAATAACTTATCTTTGTTGCAGACAAAGTGATACCATGAGCCGCCTCCAGAGGGCAGAGGAGGTAGGCACCAAGGGTATCTTCACTCAAGTGCAATGCTATCCTCTCTACTCCGTGATGAAGGCCGCTAATCTCACGCAGCTCAACTACCTGGCGCTCGACGTCGAAGGCTTGGAGATGAAGGTAACATGTCACGCCCATCGTAGACATGATCAAAGAACTATATAATTTAAATTGAGACGTGTAAATCGCGGTGAAATTCAATGTGTAAGAAAATAATTTTTTTATTAAATATTTATGCTATTGGAGGCATTCAAGCATTGTAAGTAAATTTGAAACGTTACTCGATCTGCTGATTGCGCCAAGCAGGTGTTGCAGACGCTGCCATGGGATGCCGTCAACATAACCGTGGTGCAGGTCGAGGCGTCGCACTTGGACGGCGAGCAATCCAACAGAAATCTACAGAGAAAAAGAAATAATTCTCGGGGCCACGCGCCCTCCACTACAGACTCTAAAGAGTCCCAGCCCAGTGCTTCGACTGCCTCGACTCAGAATGCAAATGTACAACTATCTCAAGCACCAGAATCTACTTCATGTCCAACGCCCGTCAAGAGTTCTCTGCCCAACATGGCAAGCATGACATCAGGGCAACGCGAACTCGTTTATTTCATGCGCCAAAAAGAGTACGAGCTGCTGGCCTTGATCGGCGAAGATTTTATTTTCAAGAAAAGGCCGTACGCTGAATATTAATTGTATTAAATACTAGAGAAAATACATTGAGTTCCTACAATCCGACATAAATAAAGTATCAAAAATGAACAGAATATGAACTGAAGTTCAGTTTGTGTGCATATACAGTGACATTCTCAAGCGAGCGTCTTGCGAAGAAATTAATTCCAGGGTCGCTCGGATGTCAAAAAAACAACATTTGTGTGAATTTTCCGCAAGTTACGAACACAGAAGCTCAAGTTTTTAGGAAGATTCCCGAAGCGATGATGAAGAGCGGAAATATCAATTTTCAATACATTTTGAAAACAATGCAAGTAAACCAAGTTGTTTTAATGCAAACAACCGAAAACAATTAAGGATGAAGAAAATGAATGGTGGAATCAATGCTATTTATTTACCAAGCAACATCTCTGTACAAGAGGGCAAGAAAAACTTTACCGGGAACAACACCCAATAATACTCAGGGGGGAATAATCCTCCCACTGCCGATATCCCTCATCGGAATATCAAAGCCTCCTACAACAAATTAACAGTGAGACAAGTTTATTAAATAAAAACGAAACACTCATCTGGCGCTCAACAGCTGCAGCATTCCACAGTTCATTGCCCAGCAATACTTAGATCCACGAGTAATAACTAACGGCTGAACATATGTAGCTCCATGAGAACTTCAAGCCTTCTAAAAGAGATTATTAATTCAATTAGATATGATTTACTCTAATTCAAGTGGGTAGACCTAGATCACAGCTTGCTTTGAATTACATGAACACATGTGGCGTGGACACGCTTCACTTAACAATTGCAAAGCTCAACATTCCCTACATAATATCCTGGTTGCATCCTTAGGAAAGATTTCATTAATCCCTCTCATATTGGAGAATTTCACTATTTTTGCTATGATGACACATAATCAACGAGTCATCATAGTTACGAACTCCATGAGATGAAATCAGTGACAAACTTAATTTTATTTACTTCGCCACTCAAATCCCGCATAACCCCGAATAACGCAGACGAAGACATTAGGAGGATCTACGAATGTTGAGGATGATGTTCTGAACCACGTCCATGGAGCTCGCCGTCCCACCCAAGTCTGGCAAATAAGAAGAATATTGACATTAGGAGGATCTACGAATGTTGAGGATGATGTTCTGAACCACGTCCATGGAGCTCGCCGTCCCGCCCAAGTCTGGCAAATAAGAAGAATATGAAATACATTGAATGTGTCTGTGGCAGCCTATATGTTAAATTGAAGCACTTCATTCAATTAGTTCATGATATTAGATATGATCGAACGCGACGAAAAGGTGGAGCGAATCATAAACAAATTACTATACAAATGGAAGCCTTCCTGCACCAAGCCCGTGTTATATCATTCAGTTGGTGCAATGTTGCACTTCATTTGTTGCAATATTGCACTTTAATTGGTGCAATGTTGCACTTCTTGTGTTGCAATGTTGCACTTCATTGGTTGTAATGTTGCACTTCATTTGTTGCAATGTTGCACGTCAGTTGTGGCAATGTTGCACGTCATCTGTTGCATTGTTGCATTTCATTTGTTGCAATGTTGCACTTCGTTTGTAGCTATGTTACACTTCGTTTGTTGCAATGTTGCACTTCAGTTGTTGCTATGTTACACTTCGTTTGTTGCAATGTTGCACTTCATTTGTTGCAATGTTGTAAACACAGTGTGTTTACAAAGTACAAACCTTGAGTATGGATCTTGTCGACGCACAGCGTGCGTCGGATGGCGTCGTCAATGACCTGCGCGTAGGAGTGGAGGCGCAGGTGTCGCAGCATGTCAATAGACGCGTTCAGCATCGCTATGGGGTTGCCCACGTTGGGTCGAAGTTGTGTGCCCGTGTTGCGGGTGCCAGGCTCGAACACAGCATACTGTTAATAAGCACGTATACAGCATACTGTCAATAAGCACGAACACAGCATACTGTCAATAAGCACGAACACAGCATACTGTCAATAAGCACGTCTCAACTATTGCAATGGAAAGTCCCAGGCTCTTTAATGATACGGTATATATAGAACACAGCAAAGTTGATGCATACATCTATTGAGCATAAATTAACGGTAGGTATAACTAAACTGACAGCAAATAAAATAGTTGCAAGCTAATTTTATCAAAAAGTAGTTCAAATTAAAAATACTGCAAAATTTATTCATAACATTCAAACCGGACGAATCAATTCCTAATACATTGTAACTTTCATTTAAAGCTTCAAAGATCACAGAGATGAGGCACCTTATCACCGAAGTTTTTGCCGCTATAGAGACCAGGTCCCCCAGCGAGCCCAGACACGACGTTCTGCACACACAGTCCGTACAAGTTAGGCGTGACCATCACGTCGAATTGGCCAGGGTTGGACACGAGCTGCATGCAGGTGTTGTCGACGATCATGTCGTGGTATGCAATGCTAGGGTAGTCCTTTGACAGGGACTTCATGGTGTCCATGAAGAGGCCATCGGTTTGCTTCCTGGAAATGGCAAACCATTAATGACACAAATTCAACCATGGACCATCCAACACCATTCGACATTCGAAATAGTCATAGGAAGGAACTAACTCCTGGAGTTAAATAAATCTTTTAATAAAATCTACAACACAACTGCTGTAACAACGATCAAGGATTAAAATAACATCTTCGGCGACTGTTATTGCTGCTTGCAAGTGATTACGAAGCCTAAGTCCATATATTCCGAAATCTTGCATTCTTTAGAGATTGTATGGCAGTTGTTACAAATGTGTTTATAACCACTTTCTTCTCCACTAGAAAACATAATCAATATATGACGGGAGTGCTTGACAAGAAACACTGTGAATAAATAACTCAACGCGTAATTAAGATGGAGGTGATACGGGGTAATTACTCTAGAGTCTAGATAATTAAGATAATACTTACTTTCCCTATGAATGCGTCGATAGTTATTGTGTTGGCCTTAAACTGACATTAAATGCTTGTCCTGATAAACATATAAAATACAATTGAACTCTTACTTCACTACATGCGTTGATGATCTATTCAAGACTTTAGAGCTGATATTAGCAAGATGTTTATCATTATTCAAATTATCACAGCACTCAGTGGGACGCACAGCGCAGTATATGCCGATTCCTATAAAATTCTTGAATGTAGTACGTCAAACTGACGTAGAACAAGCTGCTTGAACGAGCAAGCTTTTGTGATATAAATTTATTTAGGAATGCAGCACTTAAACTATTCTTATTGAATTAACCTTTTTACTTGGCTTTCTACAAAACAAACCAATCTAATTGGCTTTAAAATAAAGCCCTCAATTCTAGAAAGTTAATGCAAGAATACCCACTTTGTTCTTATTCGCTTTTGTGAAGATTTGATGAATCTAGAAAAAATATTTCACCTAAGCGCTGGTGATCTTCCATTACTGTAAGGACAAATGTTTTCGGTAAAGATAGCCTCGCCAATTTTAAAATTTTAAGAGACTAACATGAGAGAATGAACAACTCTGAACTCACTGAATATTGGCTTTGTGAACACACGTGACTTTCTTCCTGTTGTTGTTGACAGCGAACTCGAAGGCAAAGCGGCCAAGCTTCTCAGACGCTTCCTTGGTGATGACCTTAATGCACTCCACCACACCAGGTACGGTCTGCACATCATTTGTCACAATCTTATTTCCACGTCATAGTTATATTACATATTTTAACTTACCAAATCCTTCAATTTCTTCAAGTATCACATTTTTTTCAGGCTACATCTCACAACCACACTTTATATACAATATGAAATTCCAACGTTTTATTGTACTTTTTAGTAAAAAAATTACATGACAATGTAGTCACCTAACCGCGTATCATCTCAGTCATTATTATACTAGTAATTAGAATACAACATACCAAAATACAGTATTGTCACTGACTGCTGGTAAACAAGCGAGCGATAACATAACATTACTTGCAGTGAACTGCATTGGCTTGCTCTCAACAAACGAAATTAGCATCCACGAAAAACTTTTTTATTGAAAGCACTCTGAACGTTTAGAGTTTAGACTAGCCGCATGAATTTAAGAAACTTGGATCAAGATTTTAACAGGTCAGAAAATTCTACTATGATTCGATTTTACTTAAGGTAAATATAACCACAAAGCATTCACAGTAATCATGAAGAAGTCATATCCATTATAGAGATGGTGTTAATTCACAAGCACAAAGTCGTGGCGGAGAAACAAGTTAAGGAATTAGAATATTTTTTTCTGGCAAGGTGAAGTCTGCATTGGGTAGGGCACTTATACTCTGATAGAATTGATAGTTAAGATGGCAAACTTGAAATAAGATCATAGATAATTACTTTTCATTGCTAACAGAAAACAAAAACTTTATAGCAATATGCAACTAAAATCATACAACACCTGGTGTGGTTAACATGAACATAAAATGATATGGCAGCTGGTGTGGTTAACATGAACATCAAATGATATGGCAGCTGGTGTGGTTAACATGAACATCAAATGATATGGCAGCTGGTGTGGTTAACATGAACATCAAATGATATGGCAGCTGGTGTGGTTAACAGGAACATCAAATGAAATCATTTCAGAGAAAAACCATAGATCCTACATAAGATGATCTACCAGGAGAATTTAAAATCATCAACAAATGAAATGTGGAGTGCTGGAACTAATTTTGAGGATACCAGCTAGAAAGTGAGTTTGGTTTTCAGAAACCTAAAAGCAATGTACGGTAGGAAAAGCTGAAGGAAAAATCTGCTAAAAACAGTTAAACACAAGAGTAAGCACTCAACTTCAGTTACAGTGCAAGAAGTTTAATTTCCAACAAAAAAAATTACAAAATAATTGAGACATTCAGCTCTGGCAAGAGTAAGAGAACTAAATACCAAGCTAAGCCATGCTACACTTCAACTACATGCAAATAAAAAAAATGTAAACTTACGATGAAGCAATTCTCTGCAGTTCAGAGATGGAAGAAAAAAATACACTTCTATGATTAAAGTATGTGCACTACCATTGAAACTTTACAGTTCAAAAAATATCTACCATAGAGAAAATAAGGCGCAAACTTAAAAATTACATATTCTTCATCATAATATATGAAATTCATTGCAGTCGTTAGGGATAATGTTTATAAATTTAGATTCTCAGATCAAAAAAGGCCCCAAATTAATCATGAAATATTTACAATTTCTCTGGCCAATACCGGTAGCAGTTTTAAATTTATTTGAGGCTCACTAGATAAAAAAATTTTGCAGCCCCACCCCCCCTACAAAAAAAAGAGAAAAACAACTTTTTCTATTTAAACTTAATCTACAAGACAAGAAGGAGACGAAAATACAACAAAAAACTGTGATGTTTAGGGATTCCTATTTCTGTCTAAGGTTTGTTTAAAACTAAGGTTATATCTACCATTAGGCAATCAAAAGTTTGCCAAAAAATTTTTATTGTGACCAAAATAAAGTTTTACACCCTTGAGATGCTTGTTTATGATACCACACAGCAGGTAATGGTTTTACATTATTTTCCACAGGTCAATTCGTGATCATAAGACTGAACACGAACTTGCTTACAGTTTACAAAGAGCCAAAGAATAGTCAATGTTAGTGTTCATAAGTAATAGTTTCTACAAGTGAGACTAGGCACGCATCTTACTATGGACACCAGTAGACCAAAAATGGAATGCCAAGATTGGCATTGGGGCCTCAGCTGCGCAAGCCATTCGTGTTCACCTTGACATGATAAAAAGTTCCAGCAATATATTTGGAGGAGAAAAACAGACAAAATAACAGTACAAATATCCAAACAATAAATCCACAATGAAAATAAAATCCTCAACCAATTCAATGGAAGAAATATCAAACAATCCCAGATTTACTTTGATCAACCAGCAAATCATCAATGAGAATTACGAGAAGATCAAAGATAACATAAAAATAGAGGGCACTCACCTCGTGTTCAATCATGGCGTACTCTCCTTCAGTGTTCTGTCTGATGACAACAATGTCCAGGTCATGCTTGGCAGGCACACCAGGGTACGTCTTGCAGTGAAACAAATTAACAAAGAGGTCCAGCTCCACCCTCATGACGGCGTTGCGGGACTTCGAGTAGAATGGACTGGCATACTCGCTCTCCAGACTCCCTGCAATGTCATTGAATACATGATGGGGGCTTCATCAGCAACAGAACCAAACATTATTGATTAGCCCATATAAATGTTTCTATATTTTATAACAATATTGAATGAAGGACTTGCACAAAATTATCACAAAGCTATCATAAATATCATAAATGCATTGTTTTATGCATGCATAAACTTAAGGTATATATGGTCCAATAAAACATAAATACTTTAAACCATTGACCAAAAGCTCTGAGCACAGCTTTCAAAATAGAAGAACTGCATACATAAGAGTGGAAAAATTATCTTCCAAAAACATTTATAAGAACAAACCTTTAAGTGCAATACCATTGCGGCGAATGGAAAGTAGTGCTCTCTCAAAATCCACATCAGAATTAAAGTTTTTGTTGAGGGCAACCTCTTCAAACTCAATGGGGACCTTTGCAGCTCTGTAATGAAGACAGCAATAAACACACCAGACTAGAAATAAATAGATGCACGATCATTAAATTAATGCATTAGCATAATCGTCAACTTGTTTGATATCTCAAATCCTGAAACTTACTCAAAGACTTCTTGTACATATGAAGTCATCTCAGGGCCAATGCCGTCCATTGAGAGCAGGGAGACTGTGTGCCTGCCTCCATACAGAGCATACGGGAACTCCCATTTCTGCCACAGAAAAATATTAGTTCTGTTTAAAATTTTTTTAGATAATTTGATTCATCAAGAGACATTTAATAATGTCTCTTGAATGAGACATTAATGAAAATTTTGTGCCAAACTATATATGTAATGAATTTAGAACTTAATACAAAAAGTGTATTCAGTTTTACAAAAATACAAAAGTGAAAAATACAAAAAAAGTGTATTCAAACATGCTTGGGGTGTGAACACATTGATTGCATGAGGCCTCAGGAAGAATTAACAATAATTTTGAAGATAATTCATCAATCAAAACAAGGCTATGGCTGAGATTTAAATAAGGAAATGTTCATATATATGGTATATTACACTTGATAAAACACACATCTATCCACTTACCAATACTTTAGCAGTAAACTTGCCAAAAATAGTACGTAGCAGTTTATCACATAGTTCTTCGTATTGGCTGAAAAATACAATGGGCAAAAAAAAAAATACTCAGCGTATCCAGCAATCACTCGATGCTCAATTATGTTTGATGCGGTGCTAACCTCTCCAGATGCCAGATGTCACTATATTTTGGTGCAAGAGTGTTTCTAAAATGTCCCTGTGGTTAGCTGCGCCCCTAATGTTGTGCTGTTTGCAAGTTATATGGTAAAACATAGAGCGGGACGCCACAGTCCCGTCAGTCACGAAAGGGTTAAGGAGCAAATTGCAGTTGATGAATTTATCAAATATAGTCACTATGTTCAAAAATTTGAAAAAATCTTGCAAAAAGAAAATTAAAAAATGCCAGAGGTGTGAACACATTGATTGCATGAGGTGTCAGGAAGAATTAACAATAATTTTGAAGATAATTCATAAATCAAAACAAGGCTGTGGAAGAGATTTAAATAAGGAAATGTTCATAGCTATGCAAAAAGAAGACAAAAAGGTTGGTCAAACTTATATTGAAGCAACACTAAAGTTATGAGCAGTTAAGCAACACTGAAGTTATGAGCAGTTAAGCAACACTAAAGTTATGAGCAGTTAAGCAACACTGAAGTTATGAGCAGTTAAGCAACACTAAAGTTATGAGCAGTTAAGCAATGCTGAAGTTATGAGCAGTTAAGCAACACTAAAGTTATGAGCAGCTGTGCAACATTCAAACTAAAGCCACACACAAGTTACAAATGCACAAAAGAAATAAACTGCTAGGAACTTTAACCTCCTTGGCAGCAAGACATGATAATAGCCAGAAATCATGATTTGTGAGACTAGTGAATCACGGTATGATCAATTGCAAGATTTATTATTTTAAGCATTTAAACAAATTTTTATATTGAAGGAGCAAATTGCAGTTGATGAATTTATCAAATATACTATGTTCAGAAATTTGTAAATATTATTTCATTTTAAAAATGAAAAATAATGGTATATATATAACCCATATTATTCATTGGTGGCAGTCAGAGACATCGTAAGGTAGCCTCAAAACAGGGATCAAAACATATTTATTGGAAGCTAATAAAAGTTACTGTATACACATGCAAACTTGCCAACAAAGAGTTTACAAAGATGTTATTGCAAAGTAAAAAACATCATGCAACGCATGAGCACCAAAATAACATAGCAGAAATCCAGGTTCCAACAACCTGTACTTGACAATAATCACCAGTTGAAATAAAAAATGCCATCAATGAAGAGGGATTAATAGACAAAAATTTCATATTAGCAGAGAGACACTGGCATGAACAAAATAAATGCAGATGAACATGATTAAACTTACAGGAGAAGCTTCTGTTCCCATCAGTCTTTGTGAGACATGGGGCACCTGGAAGGACCATTTCAAGTTAGGTCTTGTCCATATTGCATCACATTATATAGGAAAAAATAACTATGGTCTCATCCTAACTTCATTAAATAAGAACAAATAGCTTTGATCTCAAACATACTACCTATATTAAATATATTATACAAGGACAAACAACTATCTAATGTATTCAAAAACAAGCAAGAGTGCAATAGATCACACATATCACAAGAAATATTATAAATAAAATTCTTGAATAATTTTACAAGATTCAGGGTACAAGGTTATCCTTTAATAGTTTTTCCACTCCATCTACAATTTAAGGAAGAACAAAGCTACAATAATTGTAGATATTGCTATTCATCATCCTTAGGTATAATTTTATGCAGAAAGCTATAAAAAATTAACAACAAAAAACCCTGAATCAGATGGCCAGGTGTTGTTGAATCTTAAATTGCTATGCAGGATCTACCGAAATTCAGTTCACAATACAGTGAACTGAGTTTTTTTTTTGAAAAAAAATAATAAAAACTACTTGATCTGACTCTATAAGATCTCAATTATATAATTAGTCAGTTGCAGGGATACAATCCCTATTTACACTAATTATTTTATTTATTTGCTTCAATCTTCCCAAGAACCCAAAAGTTTACCATTTATCACATCTTTGACATAAATTTAGCCATTGTCTTTCCATCTTTTACCATTGCAAAATCTGTTCTGAATCGCAACTACTGGCAGTATACTCGCTATACTGGCTATGAAAATGCAATGGACACAGAAATGTAGAGCTTACCAAGGAATTTTTCATTAGACTAAAATATCAAAATTTTAAGATAGTAATGCAACCCCAAAATTGATAGTTTACAAAAACTCACATCCTCCTACCAAATTATGAACTTAATGAATACCGTAAAATGGGGTAACTTAGACCACTTTTTGTTTTTTTAACAAAAACCCCCACAACTCAAAAACTATTTGACATAGAAAAATTTTTTTGATGGGCATTAAAGGCCTCCTAATACTGAGGCTACATAACACAATAGAAAGACTTAAAAAGTTTGCATATGTAATAGGTTAAAAAATCAAAAATGTGACCCACAAAAAAAAAGCTATTAATTAAAGCCTGTCAGAGTACCCCCTCCAATTTTTTTATTTTTTGGTTAAATAACTCCAGGTTTTGATGCATTGTAGTAGAATCAGTCTATTAATTTCACTGACTATACTCTTACTTCAAACTAAAACATTGTCCAAATCTTGACTTCTGATCGTGTACCTATGCAAGGCTGGATATATATAGGTATTCCTCATTGTTGCTTTATAAATTTATCACTTTAGCAGGTCCATCAATATATCACTTTAGCATTTTCACTAGTGATTTTAAAAAATCACCATGAAAATTTGGATCCATAATTTTAGGAAACTTTTGCCATTTTAGAGTCTTATTATCTGCAATTTTAGGAAACTTCTGCCTAATATTCCAAATTTTCTCGACATTTGCCACATTTTCTTTGCTATCTATATTTACTGCCTGTAAAAAATCCATGTCTTAAAAAATAATAACACAGCCAAGAGCAGAAATGAAATTAGTCTCACAAAATGCTGCATTTAGTCACACGGTGTTGGAATTCAGCAATTTTGTAGATTTGAATTCTAAAGACTTTTAAAACTTTTAAATAAATATGGCAACAGTTTGTGATGTTTCATCATTGCTGGCGCATAGTGTGGTGTTTTGAGAGTAATGTAAACCAATCAGAACTCAAGTTGTGCATACGGTGATCTATTTATAGCCATTTATTTCTTGCTACATCCTTAAGGTGTTGGAATATGGTGTGTTTACCCTAGTTACTTAATATCACATCAATAATATCATAAATTACAAAATTGTAATGCATGGATTATGATGGATATGGACACATGGTATGATGGTAATGGAAATAGGTACCTTACTGTACCTACTTAAAAATAAACTTGACAAAGCATCTAAAAAAATGTCTCAGCTTTGCCACCATGCTGATTACCAAGTATGAACTCAAAATGAACTTAGGAATAATTCAAATAGGCTACTAGGGTAAACGCGGTATATTCCGACACATTAAGGACGTAGCAAAAAAATTAATGGCTATAAAAATCACCGTATGCGCTACTCGAGTTCTGTTTGCTTTACGTCACTCTCAAAACACCGCACTATGCTCCGGCAATGATGAAACGTCACAAACTGTTGCCATATTTATTTAAAAGCCTTTAGAATGCAAACCTACCAAATCCCTATATTCCAACACCGTGTGTGACTAAATTCGGCACTTTGCGAGACTAATTCCGGCCGCGCTTCAAACTGTACTAATTTGTAATTCCGACCTCCTTGTTTTCAAATTCCGATCGCTGTGTGAGCTATATTGGAATACAACACAGTTCAGAATTAGAACACTATTGAATATTGAACACTACTTAATTAGGCTTTTAAGTAAGAGCTATTAAGGGAAGGGGAAGGTATCCCTAAAATTTTAGGATTTTGGCTTTTCTAGTATTTAGTATCATCTTAAAGCTGACATTCTGCCCTATCCAACGATACCACTGCGATCCCTGTACGTGAATTTATACATACATGATGGCTCTTTAAAGGGGGGCGGGTGGGGGAGCATCCTTCACGAATTAGATACAAGGTAATTAGCTGCTGAGCATTTTAAATATAGTGTCTGATTGAGTTGTGCTTTAGTTACTCTATGTTTTGGAGAAATAAATCGTAGTTTAGGTCAATTACTTTTCATTCTATGATGCCTGGTGCACAATTCTATATATGACATTCTATGCACAATTTTGTGATGACCGATGATGCACTAATTTTTCAATAAGTTAAATTTTTTTGCCAAGCGAGGTAAATGTAATCAATATTCTTTGTTTTTAATCAAATTTTTTTCTTAACTGGAGCCTTTGCTTACTGAGGTTCTACTGTAAATGCGTTTTTGGGGGTGTCCCGAGTAGCCCCGCTGTGCAGAAATGGCTGCCATTTTTTTTGGATTGAGATTGGAAATTCTGCAAATAAAGTTTTCAAGCCAACACCTGGCTGCAACTTTTTTATAAGTAAAATTTTTTAATATGGCAAATATTTTTTTTACTACAGACCTTAGCAGAAGTAACTTTTCAAAATAGCATTTTTACCATTTTTTTCAAGGATTTTTCAAAGCTAGTAAATGTAGTATTTTTTGACTTCCTTTACACTACATTGATAGGAAAAATGTTGACATTCATGCCACTATAGTTAGTTTTACAATATTCCAATTAGTTTTGCTACTAAAACAGTTTTACGCCGTATCGGAGGACTGTCCCGAGTTACCCTGCCAGTCCCGAGTAGCCCTGGTTGACAGTAATTTCCAATACAGTCTATTAATTTCACTGACTATACTCTTACTTCAAACTAAAACATTGTCCAAATCTTGACTTCTGATCGTGTACCTATGCAAGGCTGGATATATATAGGTATTCCTCATTGTTGCTTTATAAATTTATCACTTTAGCAGGTCCATCAATATATCACTTTAGCATTTTCACTAGTGATTTTAAAAAATCACCATGAAAATTTGGATCCATAATTTTAGGAAACTTTTGCCATTTTAGAGTCTTATTATCTGCAATTTTAGGAACCTCCTGCCTAATATTCCCAATTTTCTTGACATTTGCCACATTTTCTTTGCTATCTATATTTACTGCCTGTAAAAAATCCATGTCTTAAAAAATAATAACACAGCCAAGAGCCGTGACACAGGGTGTCATGTTCTGACACAGCTCACAGTCACACAGGGTGTCGGAATTCCAACACAGGGTGTCAGAATTACGAATTACACTTTTGAAGTGCTGATGGAATTGAAATTAGTCTCACAAAATGCCGCATTTAGTCACATACAGTGTTGGAATTCAGTGATTTTGTAGATTTGAATTCTAACGACTTTTAAATAAATATGGCAACAGTCTGTGATGTTTCATCATTGCTGGCGCATAGTGTGGTGTTTTGAGAGTAACGTAAACCAATCAGAACTAAAGTTGCGCATACGGTGATCTATTTATAGCCATTTATTTCTTGATACATCCTTAAGGTGTTGGAATATGGTGTGTTTACCCTAGTTACTTAATATCACATCAATATTATCATAAATTACCAAATTGTAATGCATGGATTATGATGGATATGGACACATTGTTGCCGGGTCTAAAATGTCTCGTGCCGTAGGTGAGATAAACGTGTTATCTGCTTTCAACTAACTGGCAACAACCCTACTCTAAATGAAGGAAAATGAAAGACTGGTTCTAATGCAAAATGAATTAAAATATGGGACAGTAAATAAACACACAACTTAATAAAATTGCAAATGAAATGGTTGTTTTAATTTGAAATGTGTAATGAAAATATGCTAGTGAATTGGATGTAAGGATTGAATTAATTTNAAAGGGGGGCGGGTGGGGGAGCTCCTTCACTAATTAGATACAAGGTAATTAGCTGCTGAGCATTTTAAATATAGTGTCTGATTGAGTTGCGCTTTAGTTACTCATTTAGTCTCATCTTAAAGCTGACATTCTGAGCTTTCCAACAATACCACTGCAATCCCTGTACGTGAATTTATACGTACACAGCTGCTCTTCTCTTTAAAGGGGGGTGGGGGGGAGTTCCTTCAGTAAATAGATGAGAGGTAATTCGCTGGTCAGCACTAGATATATGGTTGTTTCTGGTATCTAGGCTCAGTCACCCTTCTTGCTTTGTATGGAGAGGTGTACTGCAAGTCGCTGCTACCATCCTTGAGTGGAAGGAAGCTACAAAAGCCTGTAGTTTGGTATCCATGCTACATTGAGTGCCTATTTCAAGGCACATGGGACTTTGTCACGCTGTCCTGAAAAGTTTAACTTATTGTCTCGGAAAGCCTATCTCCTCCTAGAGTTTTGAAGCTACAGCGATGAGACATATACCATTCGATTTGTAAAGACCATACCTATCGAGTAACGAAGCCCTTTTTTTAGATTTGTGCATAGCTTGGATTCAAAATGGGGGGAAGGGGGGAAAATCT